GCCTCGAATAAATAATCTGTGCTGTGTGAAGGGGACGGGACTCCATTCCTACATTTTCAAAAAAAAAAAACATAAGCTCCGGCTTTTAAATATGTATATACATTTTCCGTTCAAATATTTTATACTCACACATGAAGGTCGTTAGTGATCATTGTTCTCACGACATTTTCTTAGATAGGTTCAGCAGACTTTGAAGCCTAAAAGTTGTACGCTTTCTTCATAAATACATAACATATATAGCAATATTGCCCACAAATATATTTCTGTATTTAGTGCTCCAAATGCAAAAATATAAGCATGTTGATGCTTTTATAACCGTGACAAATATTCAAACCTATTTTGCATTTCTATATGCATGTACCGACAATAGTATCCCATGGTAAAAAAGACTTAAATTATGGATGAGGTATTTTCTTTATCAAGTTCAATGTTTCCTTGTGTATGTGCACGCCAAGTACTCTTTGCGATCCCTCATCAATAGAGAGTTGATGAATTTTTGCAAATAAGACTCTCGATTTTGTATTAAAGACTTCCAAGGATATATGACATTCTCAAAAAAGGACATCCTGGTTACCAGTGAACCAAAAATAATAATCTACGGGACGAGCTAGCGGAAGGCAAGCTAATATTGCCACCGTGACATTGTATCTTGTGGTCGAAGTCATCGTGCTAAGGTCCGACTGGACAAATGCCCTGGAAAAGAAGTGATAACCGTAGAAGCCTTCTATAGATTGGAAACCCCAAAGCTAATCCATCTCTTGAACAAAACTTCTGCCAATTTCGTCATTTGCGGCGGACAGGGAGCATGAACAAATAGACAATGATATGTCGCGTCAGGGAGACACCCTAGGAGGTGAGGCAGAAACCTCGTCGTTGCTGCAAAAATGACAGAGGACATCATACCAATCTCCAAGGGTAGCGTTTCTCCATCGATGTCGCTGACAACCCTCCACCACTTGAAGAGCGGAAAGAAGAACACAATTACCTTGATACCAATATGAAGACACATGAAGCGCTCACCAGATCCCAATGACTTGAAACAAATGCAGGCAAAACCTTCCAGATCCAGTACTGGTAGCCAAGACAACCACCGCTTCGATGATAGATCTAGAGAACATTTTATTGGTCGGCACCATCGCCACCACCAGAGTCAAAATCATTGACAACCAAACCTAGCTAACATAACTACTCAGGGCACTTGAAACACAAAGTCCCAATGTTTTAATCCCTTTCGCCGCCGTAGGAGCTGCTGGCGGAGGCGAGCGAACCTCGGTGACGGTGACACCAAAATCCGAGGTGCCTGCTTGCTCTTCTCTTTGTTTTTGACATGACCCATTGCTCCTCTCACGGGATCTCCTATCATGGCTAGGGTTTTACATGAGACCTAGAAAACCAATCACCACAATTGTATCTAATTGTTGCGAGATCTGCTTTAGACATGAACAAAGACTTTATGACTTTGACTCACTTCTTTCTTACAATGATTAATCATGTAGAATTATGTTTGGGACAGAAATACAAACAATAATGTCATGGAAATATTTTGCATGTACAACTAATGCACAACTGCTCCAAAATAGTTGTTCATAATCAGTACAAAAATAAACGAAGTTCCGATGCATAGTCTAAATGTAACCATTCTCTCAATTCGACCTAGTATAGTAGTTAATTTTGTGAACCCATAGCAAGTGTCCATAAGGGCCTCTTTGATTCGCAGGATTCTAAAAATGCAGGAGTAGAAAAAGTATAGGATTGGAATGTCATGTCTAATTGAATCCTATAAGATTGGCAAGGAGTTTTTGATGCCACGGGGAAAACAAAGGAATTATAAAAAGAGGTTAGAGTGGATGTTAGAATTCCATAGAATTTTTTCCCATATGATCTAGTCCTATGAATCAAAGGACCAACGTAGGAAAAATGCTAAATATTTCAATCCTCCAAAAATTCTATAGAATTCCTTGGAATCAAAGGAGCCTTAAAACATTTTTCTTGGTGCGTGACTTGGCAGCACTTAGGCCATGACTGAATCGAGTATAATTCCTGTGTGAGCAAATTACAGTCAACCGAAGCAGATGATATCAACTTAGAATATAAATTCCATTATCCACTGTGAAATGGTGTGTGCATAGGCGAGCGAACCTCGGTGACGGTGACACCAAAATCCAAGACGCTCCATAAAAAAAAAGGTACGTACGGAACTTTTTGTACTCCCTCCATTTAGGTGTGTAAGTCATCTTACGAAAACCAAATAATTCTAAAATATTTAGGCGCGGTACATTAACTTCTACCTCGTTTCTTGTTTTTTGACATATCAACTAATGAGAGATAAGGGGTGTGCATGTTTTTAATGACTTGAGGCTACCAAACACGACATGCAATGGTTAGTTCATTGCATGCAATGCTATTAATTAGCAAATAAACATTAAAGTCTCTTGTTTTTCCTCTTCCTTGGTCACGGTGCACAACCTAAGATGACTTACTCACCTAGACGAAGGGAGTAGCATAATTTTTCCTCATCAAGTCGTCGTGCATATCATTTTGTTGTTGGTCTTCTTCCGCCTTAATTTCCCTCGTGGATAACATGAGCCTCGCTAGCTCAGCACCAAGCTGGACAACACGCTTATACTAGAACATATAGGCGCGCGTTGCCGCGCCCGTTCATATTTTATGCAATAGTAGAGATGCTTTTGAAAATGTACATGCTAGTTTCGAACACTCTTCCACGCTAAGTTAGGAAAAATGGTAAGAATGGCGGTCTTTACCCTTTAATTTGATGATTATGTTGTGTAGTGATTTTTCCTATAATAAAAAATATATAGGTTTTGTTTTTTGTTTTTTAGGCTTGGAACAATTATTTCTACATATTTAGACATTAGTTATCATAGAAACGAAACAATAGATTAATCTTATGGTCCCTCACAACCGGCCTTAGTTGTTCGGACATGCAATTGGATGGGCTTGGAACGGCCTATACTGCACTATATACTGTACTAAAATACTGTGAAAGCAATCACTGCCTCCCTTAGTTTTACTTTGTAAAAAACATATAAAACTACATAATTTAATTTAAGATGAATGCGAAGGGTAGTAATTTATTTACTGTCCGAACTATAATTGTTAGTTTAATGGGTGGCGGGAAGTTAATGATTCAGTTACAATTAGTTTTGGTTGGTAATTAATAGTACAAAACTGGGCGCTCATTTGCTCTTTATTATGCCTCTTTGGTGCCATACTTGACGTAAGTTTCATGTGGGTCATTGTGAGATGAAGCAAGAAGCAATCTAGAAAACTGTCATCGAACGTGTGATTCCATGTCGTGTGACTGATGCAATCTATAAAATGTGTGGCTTCTTACAGCTTTGGAGACCGCTTAGCAAACAGCGGGACCGAGACGTCATCAACAACTTCATTTCCGGTCTCCGTTCCTCGGCCTCGGCTTTTGCTCCACCACGACCGCCGCCGCCTCCTCCTCCCGAGCCGGATTAGCCCTTTTTAGCTTTATTTGGGGCTTGTCTCGTTGTGCCCCCAGCATGACTTTATGATTTGATTGCACTATGTACTGACTTGTTGGATGCTTGGTCCGTTGCTTTATAATATAAAGCGGGGGGAAACCCTTTTTCCTAGATGAAGCAAGAAGGATCCATGGCTGCGGAGGTAATAGATTTGATAGGATTATACTGTAAAAGATTTGATATGATTAAATTATTTTGAATTGTGTTTCTGATTCTCCCTTCTAAATTATGTGTACAAATTGCCAGGAATACACAGATAACTTGGGGATTGTTCGCATCTCTTGGAAGATAACTTGGAGCATGCTATTGGATAACAAAGAGTCTTATTACCTAAGCAATTTCTTTAGATAGAACAATGAAAGAGTAGCGAGGACTGGATCAGGTGCTCCTCCTTCGCACCTTGAAGAGCTGTTGACACTGCATCGCGTACTACCACTGCTCATCACCCATCGCTGTGATGGTGGGAGGCGTAATATATATGAGGGAGAACGGAAGGTGGGAAGGAAGGGATGGCGTGAGGCAATATATGAAGGAGAACAGGAAACTGTGATGACGCAAATTATCACCATTATGACAGGATAATTACGCATCGGCGCGGTGGCAGTTTCAGTTTCAGGTATGGAATGGGGAGGGACGTGCGTCATAGTTGCAAGGCATGGAGGCGAACGCAGGAGGAAGACAGTCAGAGATGGACGCGGACGGCACGTGCGGCCGCCGCAGCCGCCATGGAAGAACGCTGCACGGCATTAAAAAAAAAGTAAGGAAGAGACCCACCATAGGGCCTGTGGAGGAAGAGTGGAGTGCAAGCGGAGGGCACCGACGCCAAAGCATATCTTCTGTAGAAGCTCGCCGCAGGGACGAAGGACGGCGGCGGCGCAGCGTCGAGGAACAGAGAAGCAGCCTTTTTTTTGAACTGAAGCAACCTTTTTTATGAAGAAGAGGAGCAACCGTTGATAGGGATAGCGCTGCCGACGAAAAACCTAGACGACCCGCTCCTCTACACGTTGGACTGGACCTGGGCCTTCCAGCTCATGGCCCGGTTACGGACGGAGTCCATAGCTCAATCCCCGGAGCAGCGGCCCGCGAGACTGTGTTGCTTGTGGCTGGGACGGCGGAACTAAATCCTGCGCTGGGCAGAGACACAAAGATCTGATCCGTCCATAGATATGATGGATGGCTGACCACCTCTAATCGTTGAGAGGGCTCGTAGGTAGCTCCATTATACTGTT